CGTTATTGAACCCCTTGGTCTTCCATTCTTGGTTGTAACCATGGATCCAATGAAGACTACTCTCGATCTTTCTTCGACCTCCGACGATGATGACACCCAGGCACCGGCCGTCAGCCACTCAGCTGAGACAACTACTGTGCTGCCCTTGCCGCCGTAGGCAACTCTACATGAGTTTGGTTCAAGCTCCACGGCTCCACCACTCTCTCATCCTTCGCTGCCCTCTCCTCAGTTGTCTTTGTTAGGGGTGCAACCACCATCTCCTTCTTTTCCGCTCCCTCCATGGTCGTCGCTTGTATGGGATGAGTCTTGGCCCAGCTCGACGGTGATTGCAAAGGCTCATTGGCGTTTATTCACCCCATCTCTAACAAATGTTGTGTCCATCTCTAAGCCGGAGCTTCCTCAATCTCAACCATCTGATTTTTCTTCCAGCTCAATAACAATTCCAAAAGTGCAATCACCGTCTCTTCCCTTGCTGCCCTCTCCTTCGCCTTTATCCTCCACATAGCCAGTGAATGTTGTGTCCCACTCTGTACCGGAAATGCCTCAGTCTCTACCACCAGGGTTACGCTCGAGCTCAACTACTCCAGTTCCGAAGGTGCAACCACCGCCTCTTGATTCGCAGCTCCTTTCTCAACTTTTACCTGCCGGCACCGCGCACACTTATTTACCACCACTGAACCCTCATCCCCATCCCATGCAACCACAAATGGCAACTGATAATCCCAATCACGCAAATCCTGATCATCAGCCACTTTCGTTAGTACTTGCAACACCACTACTATGAGCACCATGGGTTTGGGCTATTGATAGTAGAGCCAAAGTACACTCACTTGAGTATATGGAAGCGCATAATATTACGACTGTGAGGGGCGAGGTTAAGTGCCTAACCTGTAGAAGAAATTTCGATCTTAATCTTAATGAGGTTGATAAATGGAACGAAACGAAGCAAGATTACTTGAGGAATAGCCAGCAGGTGGAATGTAAGGGACACAATTTTAAAGAATGGCCTTCGGCTTCTCTTGATTGCCCTACATGCGGTCCAACTGGATTTGCAATACCTCTCATAGAGAAGAGAAGCATAGATGGTATCAACTGGACTTTTTTGTTTTTGGCTAAGCAGCTTTGACATTGTACTAAGAATCAACTTAAAGACTATCTCATAGCAACCAACACAAAGGGCAGGTCAGTGTTGAAGGACAAGAGGTGGTTAATTTCCCTCCCCCTACGTTATTGAACCCCTTGGTCTTCCATTCTTGATTGTAACCATGGATCCAATGAAGACTACTCTCGATCTTTCTTCGACCTCCGACGATGATGACAACCAGGCACCGACCGTCGGCCACTCAGCTAAGACAACTACTGTGCTGCCCTTGCCGCCGCAAGCAACTCTACATGAGTTTGGTTCAAAGTCTATGGCTCTACCACTATCTCGTCCTTCGTCGCCTTCTCCTCAGTTGTCTCTGTTAGGGGCGCAACCACCATCTCCTTCTTTTTCGCTCCCTCCACCGTCGTCGCTTGTATGGGATGAGTCTTGGCCCAGCTCAACGGTGGTTGCAAAGGCTCCTTGGCGTTTATCCACCCCATCTCTAACAAATGTTGTGTCCATCTCTGAGCCGGAGCTTCCTCAGTCTCAACCATCTGA